AGAGCATAAAATCCCCACAGCGTTTTTGGCAGAGCTGCCACAGCGTGTGCAAGAGCTTTTCCACTTGGCAGAGCTTTTACACACCCAAGTGCAGAGCTGAAACACAGTTTGTGCAGGTGTCACGCTTGTGCAGAGCTGTACACAGCTTTGGAAAGAGTGTACAAAAAGCATGTGCAGAGCTGAAACACAGCATGTGCGAGCTGACACAGATGTGCAGTTTTTGTCACACCCTTTTCCCAGAGCTTTTACACACCCATTGCAGAGCTTTTACACAGGGTGTCCCAGAGCTGTAAAACACATGTGCGACCCTGTACACAGCATGTGCAGAGCGTACACAGCATGTGCGAGCTTACAAGCATGTCAGAGCTTTTACAACCCCAAATGTGCAGAGTGAAACACGGGCATGTCAGGCTGTACACGCTTGTGCAGAGCTTTTACACGCATTTTGCAAGTTTGTACACGCATGTGAAAGAGTGAAACACCGCGTGTGCCAGAGCTGTACACGCATGTTTTTGGCTGTACACACCCGTGGGGCCAGAGCTGTACACAGCGTGTGCAGAGCTGTACACAGCGTGTGAAAGGGGGCTTTTCACAGCGGTCCCGGGCTGTACAAGGTGTCCCAGACTTTTAACAGCGTGTGCAGAGCTGTACACGGCGTGTGCAAAAGCTGAACACGCGTGTGCAGAGTTTGGAAACACAGCGGGGTTTGCAAGCTGTAAAAAAAAGGGGGTTGGCTGAGCTGAAACCCCGCGTGTGCAGAGCTTACACAGCGTGTGCGAGCTGTACCCCAGAATGTGCAGAGCTGTCACGGGCGGGGTGCGGGAGCTTTTCACAGCGTGTGCAGGAGTTTTTAAACACGGTGTGCAGAGCTGTACCCCAGGTTTGTGCAGAGCTGTACACAGCGTGTGCGGGAGAGTACACAGCGGTGCGAGCTGTACACAGCATGTGCAGACTGTACACGGGTGTGCAAAAGCTGTGAAACAGCTGTGCAAGCTTTACACAAAATGTGCAGAGCTGTGCACAGCATGGCAAGCTGTGCACACATGTCAAAAGCTTTTCACAGCATGTGCGAGCTGTACACAGCATGTGCAGAGCTGGGCACAGATGTGCAAAAGCTTGTGCAAGCATGTGCAGAGCTGTGCCAGAAATTTTGGCAGAGCTGTACAAAAAATTTTTGCAGAGCTGTGCCCCAAGCTGTGCAGGCTGTCCCACGCCGTGCAGAGCTAAATTTCCCCTGTAACTAAAAAACAGGTAAAAACAACATAAGATGGAAACTAAAACAGAACCCTCTCCGCACGCCCACTCAGAAAGAGGGTTTAATCGAGCCTCCCCAGTCTTTACTTTTAAATGCCTACATGGGTTTAGCGTTAACTTTAAAATTATTTTTTTTTTAAACAAACAGGCACTGCCCCACTTTTTTGTTTTCCCCCAAGTGGGGTTCCACAAGGGTCGGGCCTAAGTCCGTGCTGTTTCGGTATCTGGGGAAGGGACATGACGGGGGACAGATTGGGAGGTTTTTCCCTGTTTGCAGACGACGTTAATTTTAAATGAGGAGAATAAAAAATTTTCGAGGATCGGCGGACAAAAGGGAAGGTTCTGGACACAGGGAAGCCTGGCCCAGCACCTTGTTCCTGGATTTTAAACCCCCCAGCACTGAAAAGTTATGGGTTTGGGGAAAGGGGCAAAAACACCTCAGGGGAGTACAGCCTAGGGGTAAAAGGCGGGAAAACTAAACCTCAAAAAAAGGTTCTTGGGGTGAGCATCTTACCGGCACTTTAAACCGAGGCGCACATAAACCAAAAAACGCTGCAGAATAGGGTGGGGCCGGGCCCAAACCAAAAAAACCCCATATTGGAGTAGCGGGCACCATATGGAACCACAACTGGTCAAAAAACGCCCAAGAAAAAAGGTTTAAAAGGGGCCCCAAGAACTAAAGATATGTCCTACGAGAGGGGTTTAAGGGGAAAAGAAAATATGCCCACTGGGGGGCCAGGGGGATAGGGGGGGAACCATGGAAAATAGGTATACAATACTGATTGAAATTTGATGGGACACAGGAACAAGGGACCCTTTTTTGGATTTTTGAACTTCAGATGAGTCGGGGGAAATGTTAGGAAGTTTTTCTTCATTTAAGGGTTTTTCCGGAAAGTTAAAAACAATCAGGAGTTGGGAATTTAACAGGGGCTGGATCTAAAGTTTAGCTTTTCGAATAGGTAGGGAACAAGGCTGTTGGGCCCAAGGGGAGAGGGGAAAATAGTTAGCGACCAGCAAAGAGGCGGGAAAAAAGGGGCTGTAAATCCCCTTTTAACAACATAAATTGGGGGTGCACACCAAAACACACCCACACACACCCCACACACACACACAAAACACACCCACACACAAAACTTACACATGATCTTAAAACTGATAATTGTAAATCTTTCTATTCTTTTCCCTACAGTGACACCCCGGCCCCATCACGAGGGTTTGGGCCCCTCGGGGGGTGAAAACGCCCCTCCAAGTAAAGGGTTTGGGGGTCCGTTTTTGAAAATCGGGGATTTTGGAAAGGCCCGCTGTACGGGGAATTTTGGGGTTTTTTAAAAGTCCCCCTTTTGGGGCCCCCCTTCCCCATTTGGGGTTTTGTTTCTTTTTTTTTCCCCAAGCAACAAAAGGGCCATAAGGCCCCCAATAAACCCCAACCAGCCCCAGCGCCAGACTGCCCAAAAAAGGGGAAATAAAGCCCAGGGGGTCCTCGCTAGCGTTCCGCCGTTTTTCTTTGTGACCGTAATCCTTTCTTGACCCTTTCATCGGCTCCTCCCAGACTCAAAGGTATCTTGAGGAAGGTCCGGGAAAAGGGTGAAGATATAAGTACCTTATTAGAACTAAAAGATGTAAATTAATTTTTTTAAGGGAAGAATTACTTTTATTAAATTTTTGAATATTGAACTTTTTTAAGAAAAGGGAGGGTAAATTAACAAAAATTTTTGTATACAACAGAAAAAACTTTGTGTAAACAACAGACATAACTTTGTGTATAAAACGGGGAATTTTAATTTTGGGTGTATAAAAAACACCCCTGAAAATAAAATAAACCATAGAATATTATTAAAAAATCCCAAAAGAAAGGAAACTTTTTTTAATTAAGCAAAAGATATTTTTCCCCCTTTTAAAGCCAAATGGGGGGATCCTGATGGATACAATTTGGACCCCCAAAGGGAAGTTTTCTGGCTCCCCTCTGTTTATGTATTTGTAAATGATATGACTATCAGTTTTCAGATGACGGGTCATCAAATGCCCAAAGGGCCCCACGTTAGGAAACCATGCCCCTTTTTCCCTGAAACCCCTTAAACCTAACCAAACCTAAACAACCTTAACTTAACCAAACCTTTACCCTAACCCATTAACCAAAACCAAAAACCTAACCAAACCCAAAACCTTAAAAAAACCCAAACCCCCTTAACTTAACTAACCCAACCTAACCTCTCTAACCAAACCAAAACCTAACCCCAAACCCCTAACCTAACGAAACCACCCCTAACCCTAAGTAACCAAACCTAACCACACAAAAACCAAACCCTAACCAAACCCAAAACCTCACCTAAACGTAACCTCAGGGCACCTCCCCTCACCTCACTGCAGGCAGCCCCTCCCTTCCAGTGTCAAGTTTTGTAAAGGGGGGCCCAAATTTGGGTTTTGCGTCTTGTTTTTAACTAAAAAAACAGCAGCCAATTTTTGGGGTTCAATAAAAAAAATTAAAGGATAAAATGTATTTTGCGGGTAAATGGGTAACTGGGAATGTTCAGGGGGGAATCTCATAAAATATCTGGACATCTCGCCCAAATTCGAGGCCATTTGGGGAATTTACTTGGGGAAATAAATTTAAGGGCAAAGCTAGTATTTAAGAGAAAGGGTTTTTCCGAGCCTCTAGCCCGCAACAAATTTAAAAGTAGCCACATAGAAAACTACTACCCCCGCAACACTAAAAAGTTTGCCCCATAGAACATTATAGCAGCAAAAACTAAAAAGTAGCACATAGAAAATTACTAGCAGCAACACTAACAGTAGCACATAAAATTTAAAAAGCAACACTAAAAAGTAGCACATTTTTTCATTTTCTAGCCGCAACAATTTTAAAATTGCAAATAGAACATTTCTAGCAGCAGCAAAAATTAAAAAAGTTTTAAAAAAATTTGAAAAATTAAAAAAACAAACAGCACTAAAAAAGCACATAGAAAACTTTCTAGCAGCAAATAAAAAGTTTTCCCCAAAAGGAAAAATTACTAGCCCAACAAAACAGTAGCCCCCGGAAACTACTTGGGGAGCAAAAATTTAAAAAAGAAGCACATTTGAAACACTAACTAGCAAACAAAAAAACTAACGGGGGACACATAAAAAACATTTTCTACAGCAAAAATAACAAAGCCCCTAGAAAAATTTTCTAGCCAAACAAAACACTTAAAA